GCCGAGCTAGCAGAGGGGGTGTTTCTTGAACCCCCTCTGCTTGAACAAGAACACACTTCTTGTTTCACTGTCAGACTTGCACTTTAAAATTATTATTTTTATTATTATTATAACTTTATGCCTAATAGAAACTTGCCTTCCCTTTCCTGCCACCCTGCAAAGCATCTTGCCCTGAGGGCCAGGGCTGGCAGGCACCTTCCCCCTCCACCCAGGGAGGCTCCTGCGGGCAGCTGCAGGACACCGAATACTCCCTTTGGGGCCGAGCTGCTGGTGGGGCTCTGCCGAGAAGGGGGATGGAGGCAGGGAGCTGGGCTCTCCGGGTGAGCATGGGCCAGCCGTGCCTGCCCAGCGAGAGCAGAGCACCCTTTTCAGCCCCACAATGGGCGTGTTGTCCAGCACCATGAGCTGGAAGGTTTTGGGCATCTCCCAGCAGGGTCTCAGCCCCGAGACTGTGCTGGCTTTGAGCTTATCCTCGGTCTGGGACTTTCTCCCAGAGGCAGGAGGTGGAGGAGCTTGGTATGTTGTGGGCAGCATCGCTACCAACCGCTCTCTTCCCCCTCCCAGGTCTTCAACGAAGACGGCACGGTGCGGTACTTCATCGATGCCAGCCAGGAGGACCACCGCAGCTGGATGACCTACATCAAATGCGCACGGAATGAGCAGGAGCAGAACCTGGAGGTGGTCCAGATCGGGAACAGCATCTTCTACAAGGCCATTGAGGTAAGCGGGGCCGGAAGGCAGAAGGGGAGCAGGGTGCTGGGACCCCCCACCCCACAGACCCTCCCTTTTCTTTGGGCTGTTGCTGGAGTGTCTGTGGGAGCGCAGGGTGGCTTTGCTGTCCCTGGCACCCAGACCCGCTGGGACAGGTAGGCATCGCAGCAAATGGCCATTGCACAGGCTTCAGGGAGCAGCGAGTGGCCCTTGTCCTCTCTGTCCCCTTTTGGTGGGCTCATGGGGTGAGCAGAGGGAGAGCCAATGCTGCCCGAGCTTGTTTGGGGGTGTAAAACATGAAAAGAGCCGCAATCCTGGCCCAGGCAGGGCTTCGGGCAGGAAAGAGGTTTTGATGGTCTCTTCAAAAATGGGATTTTGTGCAGAACGTGCTTCTCTGTAGCAGGGGAAAATTTGGGGGTTTCTGTGACACCCAGGTGCCAAGTGCAGGCTGCGCCTTTACTCTGCACAGCTTTTGCTCGGGGGGCACAAGCATCTCCGGCTGTAAAAGGAGTGTGAGAGGAGGATGAGGGTTGCAGGAGCCAGGCAGGGTGCGGTGCGGGTACAGCCGTGCCTCAGGCTTTCCACAGCAGGTCTGTGGGGCAGGGACTCATCCTGCCCGACTCCCCCATGTGCTCCTGTAGGAAGCATTAGTGGGTGCTGTCCCGGCAGGGCGGCAGGGACAGGTGTTGGGTCCCAGGGATGTCCCAGGGCACAGGCTGCCGTGCTGCGGGGTGAAGGCTGGAGGTACCCACAGCTCCCTGTGGGAGATGCTGGGATGGCAGTTGGTGTCCATCTCTCCAGCAGCGGTGATGCTACACGTGTACAGGTCACACAGTGCCAGCGGTGTGACGGTGGGGACCAGCCCTGCTCGTGTGCAGTGTCCCCACGACCCCACGTTGCTGCGGGTGGAGGAAGGTGGTAGCTTGGGGAGGTGTCCCTGAGCAGCTGCTTCGGCTTAGAGTCACAAGAGGGAACATCTCAGACCAGCACCGTGAGACTGTCCCTCTCCAGTATTGGGTCCAGAGCCTCACAGGCTCAGGACCGTGGGCTCCTGCACTGCTGGGAGAGGTTCTTAGCTGGGAAAGAGCACGAGTGCCCACTGGTTTTGTGGGCAAGGGCAGCTCCCTGGATCTGTCTGGGCTCCTGCACTGGTGTACAGAGGGGTAGCTGCTCAAATGCTCCACGGCACAGGACTATGGCTCAATCCTGCATCGAGCCGGCATCGGGGCTGGGTTTGGGATTGCTGCAGTGGGACGGGAAAGGCGAGTGGGTGGGTAAGAAGAAAGCGGGTATTTCTTCTGCTGCGGGAGAGTCCCAGGTGCCTCTCGGGGCTCTGCTGCCCCTCCCCATGCAGCGCTGCAAGAGCCCCGAGTGCTTCTGTGCCGCTCTCCCCATCCCGGACACCCCTCCGTAGGCTTCAGCTGTACCTGGCTTTAAGACCTGATATACTTGCGGGCAGCTGTGCCTGTTGTGACAGCAGCTTAATTGCTTTCTATTACTGTTCTTAAATTACGCAAAGAAGTAAAATAATTCCAGGTAGCTGTGGTGTAATTAGGAATATAGCTGTGTTTCTCACACCTTGTGTGTGCACGGACCGTGGGGCAGGTGAGCTGATATTTGGGGAGGTGCATGTAGAGGACCCGTACAGTTGATCTGCGGGCTTGCTCCTGGGGCTGAAGCAGCGAGCACCAGGGCAGGATGAGTTTAATTCCCTCGGCACTCGAAATGTTGAGAGTGCTGAACCCTGAGCGATGGAGAGGTGGAAGTGGGGGTGAAGGGTGCCTGCTGCCACGCTGCGGGGTGCTCCCCGGGCACGGCAGGCGCCTGGCAGTGCTCCTGCACCCGCTGCTGCTGGGTCGGTGTGGATCCCTCCGTGCTGGGAGGAGTAGAAGGGGCTGAGGCTTCCTGGATGAGAGAGTGAGGAAGGGAAGGATGGAGCGTGCCAGGAGCTGGGTCACAACCGGGCATGACCGGCTGAGGATCTGCATCTTTCGTGGGCTCCCCACTCCCACCCGTGCAACACTCCTGTGCATGCACACACACAGGCAGTCCAAAAGCGATCGCTTGTGCAAACTCACCGGGGTTTGTGCACCCAACAAGAAAAGGAAAAGCAAGAGAGGATTTTCCTTCCGTGGTTCTCTCTTTACTCGTTAATGCCGTAGCATGGAGTCACAGACCCACAAATGCAGCACCTCGGACCCCGGTGAGCTCCCCCCCTCGTCACCCCCCGCTCCTGCCTCGTTGCCTTCCTCACCACCAACCCTGGACCGAGCGCACATCAGCCCCAGCGCAGCTGGAACTGCTCGGTCTCGGGCAGGAGACGTGAATGCCGCCCTGCACTCAGCCGTGCCCGCTCAGCCCGCTCAGCAGCACACGTGTCTGTGTGGGCACAGTCGCCCTCCATCCCCCACCAGCCCTGGGGGGCTCCCCCACCCCTGCACAGTCTCCTGCCCCATGCCTGCTGCATCCCCTCCCCGGCGGGCACTGCGAGCTGCCCAGCCCCTGTCACTCTGCACCCACCTCTGCTGCACCGTGACTCCAGCACAGTACCTCCTAGGATGACTTTCTCCCCTGCCCACCACAAAATCAGATTTATTGGGTGCTTTTTTTGCTATTTGCCTTTAATGTTTTCATGCGTTTTGCCTGTTCCTGCCCTTACTTGCTGGTTTGTTTTTTCCCGTCCTCTTCACCAGCAATTCCAAGTTGCTGCTGCTGGCAAATAAAGTGAGGGCAGCGAGTTTTGGCCTTCGATCTGAAGGCCATGAGATTCCTGGGGGGCAATTTAAATTGCTTTGGGATGTATGCCCATGAGAGTTCACCCACTGCTGGCATAGGTACACCAGCTGCAGCAGAATAAAACACGCACACGTACAATATGTCTATCCTTTTGGCAATATTTTATTCCATTTACTTGTGTTAAAAATAACTCCTTTTCTGTTAAAAGAAAATGGTGTACAGAAACAGCACTATTTTGGGGTGTGAAATGATAACGGCTTCCCCTGCCTCCCAAATTCCTACTCTGCAGTCCCAGCGAGGTCTTTACGCAGACGGACACTTAAAAATGTGAAGTCAAAATTCCCACTGCTTTCAGGTGCTTAAAATGAGGCACGATGTCAGTGCTCGGGTGATCTAACCTGCGATCTGTGTTTCATGTGGATGATGCTTTTCTTGGACCACGCTGTGTAACGGGAAGCCGCCTTCTGAAACAGGGGACTTTCCCATTTCTAAATTAGGTTCTTAACACTAGGGATCTGAAAGGAAAAAGAAATCTGTGCATTTTTTTTATAAAGTGAGGTTGTTGTTAGTGTTGCCTGAACCGGTGTGAGTCTTCCCAGCCACGGCTGCTGCGTGCGGGGAGGCTTGAGCGGCGTTTCCCGGCTGCTGGCTCTGGCCGCCCCGGCAGCACAGGAACGTAACGGGGAAAACCGGGGAAGGAGAAGTGCCACCGTTTCAGGGAAACAGGAGTGTGGGTGGTGCAAAAGCCCTTCCCTGGCCCCACGGATCTCCTTGGGCTGTTGCAGGCACCATGGCTTTGGTGTGGGATATAGACAGCATCTCGCATCTGAGCCACACTCTCCTATAGCAGCCCCCGAGCTCTCTCCTGGTGCGTCTGCATTTCCACCTGCTAAAATAAGCCTCAGAGAGGGGGTTGGGTGGGAGATGCTGCCTGTGCCCTATAGCAGGAGGGTGCTGATGGCTCCGTCCAGAGCCAAAACGCTTTGCAGAAGCACTGAGCTGGGGTTCTGTGTCATGGCTCCCTGGTTTGGTCTCTGTCACTTGTGCCTCGCTGCAGTTCATGGGTCCACAAATGACTTATTTCTCTGTGTTTCGGAGTGCCACCGTGTCCTCGTCTCCCTGAACTGCAGGGACTTCTGGGTCCTCTGCTCCAGAGACCCCAGCTCCATCTGTGTGCTCTGTAGCTGCAGTCACATTGTTCGTGGCCCTGCTTGGAGAAGACCCCGGTGCAGGTTTGCGCTGGTGGTAGATGGTGCTGAGTCGTGCCGTCGCCTTCAGCGCTGCGTCCTGGGCTGTGCTGTGGCTGCCCAGGGGGCGCTGGGGACCGCTGGCAGGTCCCAGATGGCAGCAGGATCTTGCAGGAGATGGGGTTTGGCCAGGGTAGGTCTGAAGTGACCAGCCAAGGATGCACGGGGAGTTATTCATCGCCCCTCCTGACCCCTCCGTCTGTATCTCTCTTTCTAGATGATTCCTCCAGACCAAGAGCTGCTGGTCTGGTATGGGAACTCCCACAACACCTTCCTGGGCATCCCAGGTGTGCCAGGGCTCGAAGAGGAGCAGAAGAAGAACAAACATGGTAGGTAGCATCGGAAACAGTCATGGGTGCTTGCCTGTTCTCCATTCAGCCTCTCCCCAGCTCTGACCCATGGGGTGGGCACGGGGCGGGCATGGGGCAGGGACATCCCAGGGACATGTCAGATCCCCCAGCTCTCTGGGGACAAACACAGGGGCCATGGGACAGATCCCTACAGCTCGAGCAGGTCCCCAGTAATTCAGGGGTTCATGGCCAGGCTGGTTTGCCCACAGCTATTGCTGGTGTGGCGGTTTTTGCAGCCGTTGCCCGACCCAGCCGAGCAGGGAAGAGCAGGGCAGGCGTGTGAGCGGGAGGAAGGCAGCCCCGGTGCACTGTGAAACACAGAGTGGATGCAGCTGCCTGTGTCCCCACTCTGCATTTAACAGATCTTTCCCCAAATCACCGTCGCAGGAGGCTTGTCTCTCCCCAGGCTTTCGCTCTCTGCTTGTCTTGGCAGTTCCCCAAGGCGCTCCTCCATGGGCCCGCAGCAGAGCTCTTGGGCACTTTTGGGAGATGCCATGTTCAGAGCCAGACCCCATCTGTGCTTCCCAATCCCTAGAGAGAGGGATCAGAGCCCAGCGGAGCAGGGGAAGAAGCTGGGACCAGTGCAGGGACAGCGTGCCGCTGCTGAAGAGCCCGGGCTGGGGGCCAGGGGTTCCTGCGCTCGCCCCCTCCAGCTCTGCTTGCAGCCCAGGGAAGGGAAAACCACTTTTTGTGCCCATCTATAAGGGACACATCTCGGCATTGAGTGTTGCCCCTCACCTAAATTTGGGTGAGCCCATTCCCAGCTCTGGCCAGCCTGGGACCCTGATCTGCCCGGGATGGGTCTCTCTGCTCACGGGCATCCTCTGCGGGCAGGGGAGCCAGCGAGGGGGCACGGGGTGGTTATTTAGGGCAGTCAGCACCTTGGGGGGCTTGGGGAGGGGGGGTGAGCTGGCACGCTGGAGGGCAGCGCCTGACCGTCCCCTGTTGTCCCCAGAGGACTTCCACGCGGTGGAGACGGGGGCCAGCACGACGGGGCGCATGCGCTGCGTCATCTGCCACCGGGGCTTCAACTCC